CTCGTCGGGGATTCCCGGTCTATCCTTCGGTGACTCTAGCAACAGCACAAGTTTATTGACTGGTCGATCCAATACTGATCCAGTTCCGGTTTGAACAGTCACCGATCTGACTTGGTCTTCATCATCACGACGTGTGGTAAGCACTTTAGCCATAAGCCACTTATTCCTACAAGAATTGTTGTCCTTTAATAGAACAATGTCGCCTTCCGTGAAGTTTCTTCTCTTGTGTGTCCACTTTTGTCTGAACTGTAAGATCTGAAGATATTCTTTACTCCATCTATTCCAGAATTCGTTAGCAATATGCTGTACGCGCCTCCAGCGACGTTTGCAGTAAGTATCTTCTCGTTGAAACTTTCCTGGAGGGGGGGGAGAATGAGCTTGGTTTTACCAGTGAGAAGGGTACTTGGCGATAGTGGCAACGGTGAGAGCGGATCACTTAAGGTCTCGGTAGTCAGAGGACGACTGTTGACAACAGCTTCAGCTTCACATAACAAAGTTCGCAACGATTCGTCGTTTAAGCTGTGACCATGCTGTTTCATAAGTGCTGCCATGATGTTCCGCACGGACCGAATTTGTCGTTCCCAAACGCCTCCGAAATTACTTGCAGTAGCAGGATTTCTGATCCAATCAATGTTCTCCTTAAGCAACTCTGCCTTGATTTCCTCATCATCCATTTCTTGAAGTGCTGCCTTTAACTCGTTTTCGGCCCCAACAAAATTAGTCCCTTGGTCACTGCGAAGTTCTCTTATGGGTCCTCTACGACAGGTAAAGCGCCGTAATGCTTGTAAGAATGAATCTGTTTCCATGGAGTGGGCTACTTCGATATGTACCGCACGACTGGCCAAGCAAGTAAATAGGGCTCCGTACCTTTTAACTTCTTTCCTGTCTTCTTTGACATACCACGGACCAAAGTAGTCCACTGCACAGTATGAAAACTGTGGCGCGGGTTCAACACGGGAACTCGGGAGGTTGGCCATTTTCTGTTCTCCAAAGGTACCACGGAGATGTCGACACGTGACGCACTTTGATATGAAGTGTCTGACCGCAGCATTTCCATTGATAATCCAGTAACCACTCGAACGAAGTTCGTTTAAGGTGAGACCTCTTCCGCTGTGGTGAGTTTTCTCATGGGCGTGACGGAGGACCAGCTCTGTAATATGACCAGCCTTCGGTAAGATGACAGGGTTCTTAAGACTGTCTGAGAGGTTAGCCTTCCTTATCCGTCCTCCGACTCTCAACATTCCGCTGGCATCCAGGTATGGGTCGAGGGCGTTAAGGCTGCTACTTTTCTTCAAAACTGCTTTCCTTTCCTTATCATGATGACGATCTTTAGGCACACTTCCGGTCTGGGTTTGGAAATCTCTCAGAATCTTGATTTCTTTATCGAAGTAATTCGCTTGCACCAGCTTGAGAATTTCTGTTTCTGCTTGTTCAAGGTCTCTGACCATAAAGGAAGTAGCCGGGCAACCTTCACATTCACGGCTTCGTCCATTAACTTGAGGACCGTCAACAGTTACAGGTCTCTTGTCTGTTTTACTGGCTCTCATCTTGAGACGTCGTTTGTATTCCATACAAAGCGCAACTGCGCCCTTTAGGACTTGCCACTTGGAGAATCCTTTGAATCTGCTTAACATGTTTTCATGTTCTTCAATCACTGTCGCGTTAGCGGTAACCCCTTTAACGTCAGGAGAATTGTGGTCGACCTCTTTTTCGTATGAGTCTTGTTGAGGCCAGTGATCTTCCGTCTGCCACAAGAAGTCTGGGCCCTTAATCCACTGTGACCTTTGCATAAACTCCTTAGCGTTCATCCCCTCGATGCTTCATCTGCTGGGTTGGATCCAGACTCCACGTAGCGCCACTGGTCTGGTGAAGTGTGGTCACGGATGAATTGCACTCTATTTGCAACATACACTTGGAATCTTCGAGATTCATTGTTGATGAACCCGAGGACAACCTTACTATCGGTCCAGTAGAAGTCTTGGAGTCCGCCATAGTCTAACTCTTCCTTTAGCATGCTTGCAACCCTTACTGAAACGGTAGCGGCAGTTAGTTCAAGTCTTGGAATAGTGACTGTCTTCAACGGTGCAACACGAGCTTTCCCCATAACAAGGGAACAATGAATTCTTCCGTTTTCATCAACCAGTCTGAGATAAGAACATTGTCCGTACCCGACTTGAGACGCATCTGACATATTATGTAGCTGAGCAGTGGCAATGCTTCCAAAATCAGGAGGCTGAAAGTTTCTTGGGATGTTCAGCTGCTCTGATAGCGGTAACTGACTTCTCCATCTTCCCCATTTGGCAAGAACTTCTCCCTCGATTGACTCGTCCCAGTCTTTTCTGTGACAGATCTCTTGAAGTATCTGCTTTCCAACAAGGACGACGGGCGCAATCAGCCCTAGAGGATCAAAGATCGAGCTTATAGTTGCCAGTATACCCCTACGGGTGCACGGCTTGTCCTTCAACTCTATTCTGAATTTGAATGCGTTCGATTCAATGCACCATTCTACACCCAAAGCTCTCTCTATTGGTAACTTGTCACTACCTAGGTCTAGGCCCTTGATCTCCTTAGCTCTGTCTTCAGCAGGTACTGACATCATCACCTTTCTACTGTTGCTGACAAATTTCGTTAGTTTGAACCCTCCCTTTGCACACATCTCTTTAACAGCTTGTACTAGTTCTACAGCGTCCTTCTCTGTCGGTACCGAACTCAGAGCATCATCGACGTAAAAGTTCTTCCTTAATGTTTCGGCAGCCTTTGCACCAAACTCCCTTTCACCGTCTTCGGCTGTACGTTTCAAGGCGAAGTTAGAACACCCTGGAGATGAACCAGCTCCAAAGAGGTGCACTGTCATGCAGTACTCTTGAGGCTCTTGAGTTAAATCTCCATTTGGCCACCATAAGAAGCGAAGGAAGTTCTGATCTTCCCTTGGAACCTTGACTTGAAAAAACATTTTCTCTATGTCAGCCATGAAGGCTACCTTCTCCTCTCTGAATCTTGTGAGCACCCCAGTGAGCTTGTTTGTTAGATCGGGCCCTTGCAATAGGTGGCCATTCAGCGATTCACCCTGGTAACGAGCTGAACAGTCAAATACTACGCGTATGCTGCCTGGTTTTTTGGGGTGGTAAACCCCGTGGTGAGGTAAGTACCAGGCCTTTTCTTCTTGATGGGGTAGCTCTTCAACCTTGACCTTTCGAGCATATCCCTTCTCTATGATTTCAGTCATGAATCTGACGTAGTCAGCACGATACCTTGCGTCGCCTTGGAGTCTCTTCTTAAGGCCGTGCAGGCGTTGCTCTGCTTGAGGACGGTTATTGGGTAGCTGTACATTCTTTTTCTCTAAAGGGCAGAGGCATCTCGTAATGCATGTCATCTCTATGATGGATTCCATCTTCTACAATCTTCAGGAACTGACGGTCTTCTCTTGATAATGCGACTCCGTGCTCCCTTTCAGCAAAGTCCACCTCAAACATTCGGGAAACCACTTGAGGGGTTAGCCGCTCCTTAATCTCTGTCTTAGCAATGATGTACCCATTCACGTTATCCCTCTGTGTTGCTCTTAAGAATCTGAATACGGTTACAATGTACTTGTTTACTGCTCTTTTGGTTAACAGGACCGTTTACGTGCCATCCTAGTAGTGATCTTACTGCATAGGGTTCATTCTCATTCCCGCAAACAATGTCTCTTGGTCGCACTGCACTAGGGCAATTTAGTCCGATCAGGAGTCCTATTTCTACGTCTTCCATGTAAGGAGGTACGTGTTTCCTAACCATCTGCAAATGTGACCATCCTTGCAGCTCTTCGGGACGAGGAATCTCATCACGATCTGCTGGAATCCGTTGTCTGACGTAGGTTCTCGGTAGGGGTACGATAACGTCGTTTTCTTGAAAGTGGGAAGCCATTAGCCCATCTACCGCTTTAGTATCGACTTCTTGGGTACCATGCATAGTAGTGAGCAAAAGTTTGGTTTCAACTTCCTTTAACACCAAGCCTTCTTAACGAGTCTTCCTTAATGAATGTTCCACCACTGGCATTATCAAGGAGGGCGTAAACACATATCTTATTGTTTGGATTGTCCTTGTGGTACAACCATACTGGGATAATACCCATAGCAACTGGTACATCACCGGCATCTGTCACATTGCAAATTGCAGTACACACGTTAACGACTCGCTCTTCCTTTTTCCTTTTACTGGCTTCCGATTTCTCATGTTGGCCGTTTCCACTTTCCATTTTCGCCTCTTCTGATTTCCAACTGTAATCATGGAGTGACGTTGGGTGTTTCTTATTGCAGATCTGACAGGTTCTTTTACTTTTGCAAAGCTTAGCAATGTGTTCACAACTATAGCAACCGAAGCATAAGCCTTTCTGTTTGATAAAGTTTCTCCGCTCCACTAGCGGTTTTTTTAAGAAACTCAGCACATTCGTCCAGATGATGCGCCTTAGAGCACAATGTACAGCTGATGGGGTGAGAATTTCCTCCACCTGCATTCTTTCCTGCCAGGCCTGTTGCAAAGTTGGTACCCCTTCCTCTCTTGGGTTTGCGTTCGTTCTGTTTGTGGTACTTGTCAACTGCGTTCATCGGTTTACTTATGCCTTCCTCGGAATAGATTGGGTCTGTCGCTAAATCGGCTTGCTCTGATACAAATTGGCAAAAGTCATTAAAGCTAGCTGTCTGTCCCTTGACACTCCTAATCCTGCTAACTCTTTCAGTCCACTTACTACGTAGATATCGCGGCAGCCTTTCCCATAACTGGCGCATAACATTGGCCGTGTTCAAGTCGTTCATGTATTGCATGCCTGTCATGGCGTTCCTTGCTTGCTCAAGGACAATAGAAAATTCTTGTAACCCTGTTCCGTCGTTAGGCTTAACAGCGGGCCAGCTCGACAGCTTGGCGATGTATGCACTTGCAATCTTGCGGCTTTAGCTTTCGCTTCAATTAACTTTAACCTAGCAGATGTTGCCGAGGAAAGGGAGTGCCTTGAGCGACGAGATGAC